TGAGAATAATTGTAAAATTGGTATTATTTTACATAAAATTATTAGAAATATTGTTACACCTTAATAAAAAAAATTTGTAATATTTTTTATCGTAATGAAAAGTAACAACAAATGTAAAAAGATATTATTAAAATGTAATAAATTTGTAACGTAAAAAAATTATTATTATAAATAAAAATAATTTTAAATAAAAAATAATTGTTAAAGTAAAAATGTGAGAATAATTGTAAAATTAATATAATTTGGTGTAAAATATGTTTGAAGTGTTGTAATACTTACAAAAAAGTTGTGATAATTCTGAATATAATAAAGTATAAGAACAAATGTAATAAATTTTATTATAACATAAATAATTAAATTGACAACATAAAAAATTATTATTACAAATAAAAAATAATTCTAAATCTAAAAATAAGTATTAATGTAAAAATGTGAGAATGATCGCAAAATTGATATAATTTAATGTAAAATGTATTAAAAGTATCGTAAATAAATATGTGAGAATAGTCGTAAAATTAATATCATTTGGTGTAAAATAAGTTAAAACTATCATAATACCTTAAAGAAAAGTTGTGATTATTCTAAACGTAATAAAATATAAGAAGAAGCATAAAAAATTATTTTAACATAAATAATTAAGTTAACAATGTAAAAGAATTGTTATTATAAATAAAAAATAATTCAATAAAAAATTAACTATTTATGTAAAAATGTGAGAATAATCATAAAATTTGTATCATTTGACATAAAATGTATTAGAAGTTTTGTAACACCTTAAGAAAAAAGTTGTGATAACTCTAAAATGTAATAAAAGATAAGGACAAGTGTAAAAATATGTTATTATAATGTAAATAATTAAACTGATAATGTAAGAAATTATTATTATAAACAAAAAGTAACTCCAAACCAAAAAATAATTGTTAATGTAATAAAGTAAAATACAAGTGAAAATAATTGTAAAATTGATATAATTTTACGTCGTAATACCTTAAGAAAGAGTTATGATATTTCTAAACGAAGTAAGAAGTAAGAACAAGTGTAACAAAAAATTAAAATAAATAATGAACTTGACAATGTAAAAGAATTTGTATTTTAAATTAAAAAATTCTAAATAAAACAATTATTAACATAAAAAGATGAAAATAATCGTAAAATTCATATCATTAGATGTAAAATGAGTTTGAAATGTTTTATCTTCAAAAAAAAGTTTTAATAATTCTAAATATAATGATAAAAAAAGTATAAAAATATATTATTAAACGTAATTAATTGAGTTGATTTTATAAAATAAATTGATATTATAAAATTAAAAATATATTATTTTTTATTTATTAAATTAATAAATTAAATAAAATTATGTATAACTTTTTTTAATGTTTACCTGTTAACCTATTCTTTTTTTTTAAAAAAAAATTATATTATTTTTATAATTTATCATGATAAATCATGAGATATCACGATATCTCATGACCTTAAATTAGGGTCTATATATTATGACCTTATTGTAGACAAACCGTATGTGGCAACATTGTAAGAGTAAAAAAAAGTCAATAATTGCACAATTATATATTAAATTTCCAAGCATGTTTGGATAATAAAATTAGAAATTCGGTGGAATGAGGAATTAGCAAAAGCTTTGCTTATTCAAATTATAAAATAATTATTCATAATTTTTATGAAATTACAAATACAAATAAAAATTATAATTATAATTAAATATTACATTTCATATAAAAAATTAATAAATTAAATGAATCAAACAAATCAATTAACGAATGAATATTTAATTGAATAAATCTAATCTAAAAGGTATCAAATTTATGCATGACGAGATTTAAATTGAAATTTCAAGATTTCATAACCTCTTTTTTATTGTTAAATCAAGACTCTACTAATAGATATTATAAGCAGTGAGCAATTCGATTAAAATTTTCTAAAAATCAAATTAATTAAAGTTATAAATTCCATTAATCATGTCGTTCGACTTTATAATTTAATTCATAAAGCTCTATATGAATTAACCGAATAAGAAATTTTTGATATACTGACAATGAATTTATATATTTCTCTTCACAGTGAATTTGGATGTTCCTTTAATATAGGATTATGATTTCCCCAGTAGCTGGGGGATTTAGGTTGTTTTTAAATGATAATTGACGTGTCATTTTCAATTTATTTTTATAGAGTATTTTGAAGCCATTATTCGATTCATTCGGCCAGAGACAAGTCCAATGATGCTGAGCTTGTTTTACTTTATTGGATTCGTTCAATATTAACCGGGAAGTACATATCTAAGGCAAATTATTTGTAAGCCAAAACATCACTGTCTATTACGCCTTACAACTTCTTGTTAAAATGAATCCGAATAACCTTTTCATGTGTTACTCGTAGACCTTATAACTGTAATTTGTCGAATGTAACAGACCAGAAAGAAATGGCGTTCAATTAAATGGCTTATATCTTTGTCCAATGCAGCAGGCCAGCCGCATATTGTCTTGCAGTTGAGATTCGGTTCATGAAGAATTTGTGGTGGGCTGAAACCCTTCTGTTTGGAATTTATAGCAAGGAGAGTGAGAAATGCAGTCAATATGTTGCCTGAATTTACACATTCCCTGCTGCTCTCTCGCGTTAGTTATTTATATAGGGAAAGACTACTAGTAGTTTTAAAAGTATTTCTAATCAAAGAAGGTTTAGGAACACAATTGCCCATTATGCTTGGGGATTATATTTAATTAATTAATAATTTGGGATAATAATGATAGAATTATAAAAGACTAAATATGTTACTTAATCGGTGGATTATCTTAATGGTCTCCAATTAGGATTACTTCTTAATTTACTCTTTTTGTACTTAATTTCAACAGAGAAGACCAAATCTTGGATTGCATATATTTGTGAATTTGGAGTATTTAGGTTACTCAAATGAAGAGAAATTATTACATAAACTCTTTATCCTATATTAAGTCCAACATATTAAGATGTGATCTTAACAAAAGGAAAATGAAGCAACACCCAAAAATTCTCATGTCAATAAATATTTATACATTTACTTTTTTTGCAAAAAACAAAAATTGAATAAAAAGGAAAAGATGAAATATATAAAAAAAAAACTGAATAGAAAGCTAAATAGCAAAAAGTAAAAATAATGTAGAATTTTTTTATATAAAAAATGCTTTTCTAATGAGATATTTTAGAAATAATAATAATGTAGAATTTACATATCACTTCATATTTATGCCAAACTATAGAATGTCAATTTTTCATGCGTGTCTTTTTTTTTTTATTAAAGTATATGTAAATATAGTTCTAAAGAAAGAACTTTAAATTTATAGAATTGGTATCACAACTTTTCAATAAATTTGTTGTGAACATTTTAATTAGAGACTATAATTACAGATAATTAATTACTTTTATACAAGAATTAAAAAAAATTATAAAAAATTAAATAGGCTTCTATTTATCGAGTTATTATTAAATCTCAAATGGTTGGTAATAATAATAGAAATTATTTTAGAAAACATTATAAACTTATGTAGAGAAATCTTTTTTTTTTTCAAAAATTAAATTTGATTAGAATATGTCTAGGCGTACAATTACGTAACACCTATCAAATTTAATAATTTTTTCTAATTTTAATTATTAGACATTAAATCAAATAAAAAACTTAAGACATTATTATATACTTAAATACATAAATAAATAAATCAATTGAATAATGCCAACAAATAATCACAAGTGTAAAAAAATCTATTAAACTCAAATATCTTTATTTTAAAAGATCAAAACTATGTCAAGTTTTTAATTGAGTTAAATCAAATTATTGAAGTATTATTTCAATATTAAATCACTAGTGATGCACGAACCTAAAAAATTGAAAAACAAAATCTAATGTGACTGATTATTTTGCTTAAGTTTATACTTGTTATTAAGAGTGCAAACGTGTTTACTTTATTTTTTTATTTTTTTTAAATAATAAAATTTTTTAAATAAAAAATTAAAGACAAATAAAAAATAAAAAAGTAAAAACGTTAACTAAATCGGGGTCCTAAAACTTCTTATGCCATTAAAAACAAAGGGTATAGAAATAGTACTTTTCCATGGCCAAAAGCCTCAAATCGGAGAAAGTTTGTTGGCTTCAAAGCTTTTCCTTGCGGTCCAATCCATTTAGAGGGAGAAATAATAAGATACTATAAACTAGTAGTAAACCTATACTTGATCGAGCTAAATTTTAGAAGATCATTTTAAATTTGTAATAAATTTATTGGGTTCGTAGTAAAAAAATCTTAAACTATTTTAAAATGAGAAACAATAAAATATTATAACCTACGTAGGTTCACCGGTTAAGAACCCAAAACAAGACATGACTAGGCAAGCAGAAAATGTATTAAGGTAGCTCCAAAAAGCAACATAGAGGCTTCAATCGGGTGTTTGTTAAATAATCTATTTTACAAACTAACAAACTTACAGTTCATAAAGAAAATCCTAAGTTTTCTCAGTTTGATAAAGAAGAAGAGAAATTAAAAAAAAAAAGAGAGAAGGCAAGAGTCTTTCCGTTTGTCATTCCACATGGGAACTTAATTTCATCTGCCATTCCATGTGAGCTTTTAACGGTACGAATCATTCACAGCACAGCTTTCATTAAAATAAATCTTATATTATTATAAGTAAAAAATATTTAAATTTTATTTGTATAAATTAAAAACGTTTAGTTTTGATTTAATCTCAAATTGAGCGTTTAGCTTATTTTAGACTGCAGTCTCCTTTATAAAAAAATATAGATATAGGCAGATAGTAAAATGTAATGCACTATTACATTTCACCTGGGACTGATTGTATAACGTAATCTAGTGATTTTTTTGTAGCCAACACATGAAATCACCTACACAAATATGACATAACTAGTAAAAATAGTAAATTGATCAACATTACTAGAAAACGACACTCATTTTTTATTGATTTCATGTTTTACCATCATGAAGATTAACAGCTGCATTCCTACTTTAAGCATCATTATGCAGTGAGTGGAGTATTACTTGAATTCCATGTTGTGGCCGAAGGGTGAGAAGAATTACTGGTGAGTGGACATAGGCAGGGGAGAGAGAAATGGTATAACGTTGTAGAATCATCGAAAGAGAAGACTTTGTTTCTATGGTTGCAAAAGTCATACCAACACAAGACCGAGATCCCAATCCAAAGGGAAAATATGCAGCGGCATTGTATTTGGTAGCTTTGGCAATCCCTTCCCCGAATCTCTCTGGTTTAAAAAGGTGCGCATCATCTCCCCATAATTGAGGGTCATGGTGAAGTGCCATGTTTGAGATTACAAGCTCTATATTAGCAGGCAGGACTAGCTTTCCCAATTGAACTTCTCTTCCAACTTTTCTCATCAGGCTATTTGCAGGACCATATAATCTTAGAGTTTCATTAATGATCATGGTGATCTGTTTGCAGAATAGGAATACGTCAGAATCAGATTTTAATATGCTAAACGCTTGTTAGTCAAAGGCAGATCCAATAGCAAAGGCTAAAATTTTTTTCTCGATATCTTTTCAGTTGATGAAATTGATAAATCCATTCTGAATTATATATATATATGTGTGTGTGTGTGTGTGTGTGTCATAAATGCACTCTTTCGAAAAATAAATCCTAGATCTGCTGTTGTAGATAGTATACACTATATGTATCAAAAATGGTTAGACAGTTTTCTTACAGTTTTGAGTTTGGCAATGCCTTCAGAATCTGGATTTTGGTTACCAAAAATCTCAATCACCTCTCTTCTTGCTTTCTCTTGCCAATCTCTATGGAATGCTAGAAGCAAGACTGTCCAGGCAAGCAAGGAATTAACAGTTTCCTGTCCAGCTAAGTAGAATGTTTTGCACTCATCTATCAAATCCTCCTTTGAAAGCCTGTTTTTCTCGTCCAAATCATGATAGGCATTCACAAGTAACCCCAGAAAATCACTGCCGAAACTGTCAGCTTCTCCACTCACAACTTTGTCTTCTCGTTTCTTAACAATCTCCATCACAGAATCTTGTATTCCTTTCATAAGTTCTTCTGACTCTAGAAAATCAGCATTTTTCGCGAACTTGCTAAAAAAAAAAAAATCCAAGTCAGCTATATATATGAAGAAAATAAAATACGAAAATCTATGCAAAGCTACAAATTTAAGCATTGAGCTAAACCAAATCCATGGAAATCAAGACAAAACTTGGGATTAGTTAAGCTTAGAGGAACATACTTGATGACAGGAATCTTATCCTTCAAAATATTTCGACTCGCAATTATTGACAATTTCTTCAACATGTCAAAAATCTTCTTCCCTTCCAAGTAACTGCTACCAAAAGCTGTTCTTGATATCACTTCTGAAGTCAACAATCTAAATTCTTGGAACACGTCAATCTCTTTGCCTTCTTGCCCTTTCCACTTTTCTAGCATTGTTTCCATGCTAAAAATTATTGCTGGCGTCATGTTCTGCCCAAACCATCCTTACAATGTGTAAGCAGCAATATAAGATTTAACTAACAAGAATTTGTCGGTAAGTGCAGGATTTTTATCCTTTTTTATTTAAGTGATCAGATTCAATCCTGAACTGTCTCTGGAAAATATAGACAATATAAGATTTTTTATTTTTGGTACAAAGGAAGGTGTAATTTGAGAATATTGAAGGGATTGCAGGATATGAAATTTAAACTCCCGACCTCCTGAATTTAACTTGTTATAGGTGGATGCATGATGCAGCCCCAAGTACAGATTTTTCAAACTTTGGCATCACTCTATGTATATAATTCTTCTACATTTAATTAAAACTAATTCATAAATCATAACTGCTAATATTTGTGGTCCAATGGTTTTCGTTGAAGGCTTTACCTTTAAGCTCTCACCATGAAAAGCGTAATTGGCCAGCTTTCGCTGCTTCGCCCATTTTTCACCCTCAGTAGTCGCAAGTCCGTTCCCCAGTAGCTTGCTACCATAAATTGTAGGCTTACTTTTTGGAAAAGCATTTTCACTATTTTTGAGAATCTCTTTGACCAGTTCTGGTTCTGAAATCACCAGTTGAGCTTGAACACCGTTCCAACAAAGATAATTCCTCCCTAATCAAACAAAGAAAGGGTCAGTTTTTTCTTGGGACCTGAAGTTAGAAATCATAGTAAAAACATGCATTTTATCTCACCATATCTGTTGAACCAGGAGTACATATGAGGCTGCACTCTGGGAAATATATCATGTCTCAAGCCCATGGACTTGCTTAATGCTTCCTTTAACATTTTGGCAACTTCTTTGTTGTTCCCATAGATGAATTGATACGGAGGTCCTTTAATTCCCTGTGAATTCAGAACCCGCTGTATACGGAGAGGTATCCACCAGTATTTGTAGAGGACCTTGAGTAGAGCTACGAGGAGATAAAGGCAGAAAGAACATGTCAGAAGGATTAAAAGGTTCACCATGGCATTCATTTTCTTCTGTTCACAATGAATTTAGATGTTCCTTTAGTATAGGATTATGATTTCCCCAGTAGTTGGGGGATTTAGGTTGTTTTTAAATGATAATTGACGTGTGATTTTCAATTTATTTTTATAGAGTATTTTGAAGCCATTATTCTATTCATTCGGCCAGAGATAAGTCCAATGATGCTGAGCTTGTTTTACTTTATTGGATTCATTCAATATTAGCCGGGGAGTACATATCTAAGGCAAATTATTTATAAGCCAAAACATCACTGTCTATTAGGCCTTAGAACTTCTTGTTAAAGTGAATCCGAATAACCTTTTCGTGTGTTAGTCGAGGACCTTATAACTGTAATTTGCCGAATGTAACAAACCAGAAAGAAATGACGTTCAATTAAATGGCTTTTATCTTTGTCCAATGCAGCAGGCCAGCCGCATATTGTCTTGCAGCTGAGATTCGGTTCATGAAGAATATGTGGTGGGCTGCAACCCTTATGTTTGGAATTTATAAAAAAGAGAGTGAGAAATGCAGTCAATATGTTGCCTGAATTTACATACTCGCTGCTGCTCTCTTGCGTGAGTTATTTATGTAGGGAAAGACAACTAGTAGTTTTATTAGTATTTCTAATCAAAGAAGGTTTAGGAACACAATTGCCCATTATGCTTGGGGATTATATTTAATTAATTAATAATTTGGGATAATAATGATAGAATTATAAAAGACCAAATATGTTAATTAATCGGTGGACTATCACTACAAGAAAATGAAAGATTAGTGGCAGTTTTGTCGCAGTGTTTCACTTACAAATGCCTCTAACTTCCGTGTTTTTATAAAACTTAAAACGTTTATTATCAAAACGCCACTAAATATTCAAATAACGGCATTGTTACTTATAAACGTCACCCAAGACTTGATATTAGTGGCGTTTTTCGACTAAAACGTTTTGAATAATGCTGCTTTAAAAATTTGAGTGAATACTAAAGGCATTTTTGACAAAAAAATACCTTGAATGATCCCGTTAAAAAAATTGATAGGAAATTATTGAAGGCATTTTTAGCAGACAACGCCTTCAATAATCTCCTTATAAAAAAATGTATGCCATTATTGAAGGCATTTTCTACAAGAAACACCTTTAATAATTCTATCAAAAAATTTCACAGGCTTATTGCAGGCATTTTTGGTCAAAAATGCCTTTAATAAATATTATATCAAAATTTTAGGATCGTACGAATGTTAGCCATAAGGTGGTAGGTTTGATCCCTCCTTTAGCCTTTTTTGGATTTTTGCAGAGATTATTTGTAATTGATTATTCTAAGCATCTTCTTGGTAAAAACGCCTTCACCAATTGCTTTAAAAAATTTTGGAGAGAATATTGAAGGCGTTTTTCACAAAGAAACACCGTTAATAATCCATAGGAAAAATATGGAACTAATTCTTGAAGGCGTTTTTGGCTAAACTCACCTTCTATAATTGAATCAATAAATTTTTAGTTAGGATTATTAAAGGCAATTTTTGTCAAAAAGGCCTTCAATAATCAATAGACACAAGTTAGAACGGATTCTTGAAGGCGTTTTAGCTCAAAACGCCTTTAATATTCCAAACGATAAATTTGAATGGTCGGGTTATTGAAGGCGATTTTTTCCAAAAATGCCTTCAATAACATTTTCTTAGGGATTATTCAAGGCATTACTAGTAGGAAAATGCCCTTAATAATCCATTCAATTAACTTGTAGTTGGTATTTTTGAAGGCGATTGTTTTTAAAATGCCTTCAATAATCCATACAAAAAAGTTGAAACGGATTCTTGAAAGCGTTTTTTTGCCTAAAATGCCTTTAATATTCCACTCAATAAAATTTTAGGTGGGATTATTGAAGGCGATTTTGTTAAAAAAATACCTTCAATTTAGGGATTATTCAAGGCATTTTCTTGCTAAACATGCCCTTAATAATCCATAGGAAAAATATGAAACTAATTCTTGAAGGCATTTTTTGGTGAAAGCACCTTCAATAATCTAATAAATATATTTTTAACAGAAATTATTGAAGGTGGTTTTTTTCAAAAATACATTCAATAATCCATACACAATATTTGGTAAGTTCTTGAAGGTGTTTTTTTTTTTCCTAAAATGCCTTTAATATTCCATACAATATATTTTTAGGTGGGATTATGAAAGGTGATTTTGGTTAAAAACGCCTTCAATAACATTTTATTAGGGAAGATTCAAGGTGTTTTTTTGCTAAAAATACCTTCATTAATCCCATAAAAAAAACATATTTGATATTGTATATGTCAAGTCAATTGTAGGTTTATACCCAAAAAATGTTTGAAGTCAATTATATATTTATGCCCAGAAAACATTTAGTTTATATATGTGATATTACGAATTACATTTTGGAATTTACATAATGAACATTGTTGTATTCAATAAATTAACCACACATTCGAAACTAAAACTGATAACATTGCCATATTAATATATTTTTCTGAAATAATCGTACTCAATAATATATTAAGTATATAGTGTATTTATATTAAGTGTACCAATAATATTTAACCAATACCCCAATATACAAACTTAAAGTTTCCATTCAACATTGCATGTTAAAAACATTATAACAATTTGTTCCTCATATATTTACATTCAACCAACAATGTCTAACCTTAAGGTTTATCAACATTGATAAATGATAATACATATTCACACAATTCTTTACGAACTTCATCCAGTTCCTCTTCCGTGAAGCTTTCTTTACTCTTCCACTAAAAAAAATATTAAAAGTAAATATTAATAAATGAGAACATAATGTACCTTTTTATTTTTTTGAAGATATAACGAGTTTATGAAATTTATATTAACTTTGAATGGTGTGGTCATAAAATCATGTAACACTATTTTCTACATAAAACAAAGGACATAATATCCACATTCAATATTGTTGGGTTGATGAGATACCTGAAAATTAAATTGAGTGAGTTTAGGAAACATTTATCTACATAAACTCAGCATAAAAGAATAAATTTCATATTTACTAACAATGACACCTATTTCGGTTTCTTTATCTTCTTATCGAATGCAGATATTACCCTAAATTGAAAAGAAAAAAATTACTTAATGCATAAATAAAATTACTTATAAAGAAACAGAAGATATACAATATAATAAAGTGTAATGCCTTTTTATAAAAGTTTGAATATCAGGGTTAGGCATTATCGTTGGATTAACTGAATTAAGTATGGCATTGAGGATTTGGTGTCAATCACAATAAACACCTAATGTCGACTGTAAAATAATAACAATGATATACTCATATTACGCATTAGATCAAATTTAGATAAGGTTGGAATATAACTTACTGCACATTATATGAGAGCAAATAACAATCAGTCGATTTTTTCATGCATTGGATCACATGATTAATATGATAAGCGACTGTGCCACTTTGCTCACTAATGAAGTTGGGGTCAACGAATCTAAATTTGTTGGTCAACTGTCTCCCTTTAAGCTCTTTATATAGGAAGCTACACAAAAACAATCAATACTGCTAGTTAGTATTACACCCTAAATAGATTACTACATATTGAATGTGTATATTTGTATTTATAAGCTAACCTCATATAAGCAAAACATCAACAGTTGATAATTCATCCAGTTCACAAAATTTTTTAACCTCCTCCACACCAATGAAAGAAAATGATGATTTATCAAATAACCCTTCCTCAGACTCAATGGTTATGAAGTTTCCTCTGGATAAATGCTTCAGCGAATATTTGGATAACTCATCCATGGTAGCTTGAGCAAGGGTCATACTGTGAGTCCTAACATCTTGCTACAATATTTAATGAAATATAAGTATTAAAACCAAACCAATAAATATAATAAACAAATTAATATTAAAATTATAAATAAAATCATACTTCTTAAGTGGTAACGGAGGATGGGTTTGCGTCCTTACTTACAACGAAAGCTTCTTTTATGTGGACGATGTTATTAGACCGACCTACTGGCATGTTATGCTGCATTGCTACCAACATAGACTTCAAAGCAGCGAGTCTTTGCTGTTACTCATTGAGGCATTGCTCCTGGTCATCAATTCGTTGCTGTTGTTACTCAATGATTGCTTTATATTATGCATTTCTCATTCACAAGGTTTTGTGTTGATTACTAAAAACCTTTGATGGCAAGATAAATTTACCAACCCCACGAACTCGACCAGGACTTTCTTTAGCACCTAATGCTAAAGACAAAGGATTTTCACCATATTAGGTTGTCAATTCACCAGATTTGACTTTGGCAACATAATCATCTTGAAAGACAATAATAAGATAGGCTGTAACAATAAATCTATACAAGCTAGTATACAATTATGCATACAACCACAATGCTAATCATACATTATATTAAAAAAGTAGTTATACATATAATCTTTTTTGTCATTTCTTTAGTTACTTCATCTGCAAAAGATCCATCCTTCCGTAGATGTTATTGTTTCTAGACATCCTATCTGGAAACTTCGATGCTAGAGCTCATTGATTCTTATTAAATTTCTTTAATAAAAGAATCAGAATGTATGAAATGAATGTTCATAAATATTCATTAATGAGTATAAAACAAGTGTGCGAATACATACAAGCTCATACTTCACATTTGCATATCCTTTTCTCACTGTCCGATGGTGATATTGTTGTTTGGCTTGAATGTTCCGTTGATTTTCTTTGATTTTCTTCAAAAGAAAGAAATTACATCAACCACATATAAAGATCAAAGGCTATATTGCATAAAGACTTATAAACAATATTTTTGGTAATGGGTTTGCATACTGAGAAATCTTCTAAAAGTCGATATCGAACAAAATTTTATCCAATCTTTAACACTTATTATATTTGCATATGCCTAGGTGGAACAACCAATACATCACTTTGATCAGTCAGTAGTAAAATATATTAGGTTATTAATCTATTTTTAAAATCTCTGAATCCTTTCCCAACAGATTGTAACACAATCTTTTTATAGTCAATTAGGACGTCGAACCGTTCTTAAATTATTTAACACAATTAGTAAGAACACATTGAATTTCAATTAAATGATCATTTAACAAATTTTATGAAATAGTTGAATAAACATACCACAACTGACTGTCATATATCATCCTTTAGATCAATAGGAACTTGTCGCCAATCATGTACATAATTGAAATCCTACGACAGACGATGGCTCCAATATGAGTACCCATCTTGGCAACTCTTTCAAACATAGGCTGTCCATTTTGATTGAAGTTAATGTGAATTTTTGTGTCACTTACTTTCATTTATTTATTTGGGCCCCTTCCCTTTCTTTTTTAGCCTATAAGTGTGTTTTTTGCATGTCTAATAGAAGGAGAATGATTTTGTTCAGAATCCATAATACCTATGATTTTGATCATAATTATACGAATTATACAAAATGACCGTCTAAATTTAACATTGTACGTAATTAAATACAACCAATACCATACTATGTATAGAAACACCATTCAGTAAACCAATCGGTAATGTGTTCAAACACCTTTCAGCAAACCACTCAGAAACACCATTCAGCAAGCCATGCAAAAACACCATTCAACAAATGATTCAGCATACCAATATCATACAATACCATTCAGCAAAACAATATTACACAATAAGGTTCAACAAACCACATTATTA